GATCTTGTAAGTCTCATTCCAGTGCCACATTAACCCCAGCTAGCAGAAGGGCCAGGTCTGTGATCGTGGCTTTCCCCTTTCGAAGGCTGGGGACAGTTTTAAGTTTGTTGCGCTTAAGAGATGCTGTGTACTTCCGTGTTCAGCGTGGGTGACTACCTCCAGGTTCTTTCTTGAAGGAGATTTTCTCTAATGAACCACAGAAAGTGATGAGTATTTACAGTGAAGTGAAAATCATTGAAGGTACCTGAGATCTCCATGGGGGGAAAAACAAATGAGAAGGCCCAGTATTAAAGGTTTCCAAAACGTTTTTGGAGGAGGAAAGGCTTTGTCAAGTTTTCACCCTTTGTAATTCAAGATCACTGGTGTTTTCCGGGGTTGTGCCCTCCTGTGTCTTAAAAACCATGCACGCGTCTTTCTGTCCAGCGAGCAGCTGATGCAGCTGTACTGCGCCCGCCAGCGCCGGAGGCTGAACCGCGGGCTGCGCCGCAAGCAGCAGTCCCTCCTGAAGCGCCTGCGCAAGGCCAAGAAGGAGGCCCCCCCCATGGAGAAGCCCGAGGTGGTGAAGACCCACCTGAGAGACATGGTGATCCTGCCAGAGATGGTGGGCTCCATGGTGGGAGTGTACAACGGCAAGACCTTCAACCAGGTGGAAATCAAGGTGAGAGATGTGCTGTCGGCGAACTCCGGGAGGCAGGCTTGGCAGCCCCGGCGGAGGCTGTTCTTGAGAGTTACCTGCCAGCTTCCATAAGCTGGTCACTTTTCCGCTCAGCTAAAACCTTTGCGAGTGAAACGCAATGAGCACGTTTTAAGTGCAGTTAATTCCCTGTATTGCAGCCTTCCTGACATAATACTAGAGTTTAAAGGTGGAGCACAAGCAGAAAAAAGCAGTGTTTTTAAATTTTACCACATTAATACACTTGGTGCACAGAATGTTGTCATTCATCAGTCTGTTGTTGTGCTATTGTACGTACTCTCCAGGGTTAACTACAACTTTGGAACTTACCATATCATGGAAGTGTTAAATACCATCCAGAACTAAAATGCAGGTTCAAGCCCATTGTGATGTGAGACACGCTCTGTTACAACCTCACTTCTACGTGGTTTCATAAGTGATTGCTCTCACAGATACTGGGTTTCACTGGACTGTAAAAATGGGTCTTGATATTTCTGGCTCCAGGGCTGCTCATTGATTATCTTTTCCCCCTTTATCTAAATAACTGCGTATAATGTACTATTTACTGTCAACGTGACTGAGTTGTCTCTGTCTAGATGACCCTTTTCAGCTTAATTAGCTATTCACAGTGAGCACTTGTAACCCGTTACCCCTTGTGAGATTTTTGTTTTTGTCGCTAGAGAAAACGCATCGCCTTTATCGCTTTTATATGCACATGTATTTCAAAATACTGAAGGGGTTCTTCTGTTCCCGTACAGCCCGAGATGATTGGCCACTACCTGGGCGAGTTCTCCATCACATACAAGCCTGTGAAACACGGGCGTCCCGGTATTGGAGCCACCCACTCCTCCCGTTTCATCCCCCTGAAGTAAAAACAGCAGTGTCTTGCCTGTAAATAAAAAAAAAAGTGACTTCCAACAATTTGCACAGCCTCTGTCTTTTCTGTGTAAAGCTGTCTGCGGAACAAACTTTGTGGTCTTGTTCAGGAAAGGTAATGTTCAGAACTTGAAGCAATGTGAGTGTTCTGCTTTTGACAGCGGATCTCTTAGATCCCATGAGAGGTAATGTGCCGGAGTTACATTCCCACTCTTTTTACAAACCATCCTGGGATTTTTAATGATCGGAGAGAGTCAGGACCTCAGTCTTATGTCTCATCTGAGGGACAGCACCTGTTTTACAGTGTAGTGTCTCCATCACTATACTTGAGTATTAAGACCCATGCAGACTACCGGTTGAGCACCCCCTATACCACCCCTCCACTTCCAGCAGCAGCTTGAGTTTTTCCCAGGAGGTCTTTCATCCAGGTACTGACCAGGCTCACACCTGCTGAGCTTCACTGGGGTGCCAGTTGTGAACTGCAGGGTGATGTGTCTGCCACTTCAGGATAAGGGGGCCTGACACCACAGTGCATATTGAACCCTAGGTGTTGAAGCAAAAACACATCTTTCTTGTGATTGTACAGCATACATTTTAAGGTATGATGGGTATTTTTTTATACCTTAAGAACTTGCAACCATTTGCATCCTTGGTGTTTTGAGCTTAATAGACTTGCAGGTATTATGGAAGACAATAGTGGAGTATATATAATTCCCCCTCTATGAATTGGCTTCATTATTCTGTTCTCCTGCCCATGTGTGGTGAGCATACTGGTGCGCTTTGGTTATTATTAATGAGATATTATCACTTGTACTAGATTTATTCTCTCATGCGAAGGCATTCCAATATCCAGAGAAAGTGGATCTACAATGTTGCTTGGAAAGGCTTATTTTATTTCAAACAATTAGCATGTTGCTTGTCTTTACAGCAGCAGCTGGTCATGTCATAAGCGTGACAAGTATAATTTCACGTGTAATTCTAGAGAATGTTCCTTTGGGAAACTAAGTCAGTGGTAAAGTGGTTTTAATTTCATTAGGAATCCAGAGTGCTTTTGGTCGGTTGCTTACTGTTACGGCAATGACTGCATTTCTACACTAGAGTGCTCCCATTCTCTTTAAAACGAGTTGTGCTGCCCAGACAGTGCTGAAGAAAGTTCAAGCTTAGGGCATTATGAACAAGCGTTAATCCATATAAGTAAGACAAAACTCGGAACAACACGTACATCTGGAAATCTGCTTGTCCCTCGAAAACAGCAGTCACACGTCACACAGGTTGCTCCAACTATTTTGTTGTTTCCTTTGCTTTGGGGGGACTTACAAACATTTTGTCAATATTGTCCATATGTACTTAATGACCATGACCTCTCTTTTCTCTGTATGCAAGAGTGAAATCTCAGTTCTTGATGAAGAAGGTTGGTTTGTGGAGTTGGCAGAGCTGAACGAGCTATGTCTATATTAATGTAAACATCCACTGGGCATGTTTACTGTTCTCTAGATAGCAGCAACACTATTTGTAATGCTATAGCACAAAAGCAGAAGTGTCTTAGAAAATTAATAATAAACGAGTACATGGTGTGTGTTTACAAGAGCTATTTATAACACAAAAATAATTCCATTTAGTGATTTAGTTGATCTCTAATCCTTAATCATCACCTTTTCCTTTCTGCTCAGTATGATTTATTGAGGCAGACAGCATTGTCAAGGAGTTGCACCCCAACAAAGCATTGTTGTGGTGTCTTATTGTGTAGGGCTATAGGACAGGAGAAATACAGCACCACGCACACCACCGAGGACAGAAAACTCAGTTGAGAATTCCTGATCACCTTGTTCAGCAAATAAGGGATTTTTTAATGATACTGTCATAAGTATAAAAGACATATAGGGAATATTCCTAGAAGCCCATTTTCAATGCCAATGGGCAATATTGCTGTCCGAAGCACATTTAAAGGTAGTTGTTAGTCACATCTACTGTTATGCTTTATATGCTGAGCTCATGTGGGGACTAGGTCGCAGCTGTTGGTCCTGTCTGACTCTGCAGAGCTGCCCTGTGTTCCTGTACCGTTTGGGCCCTCTCCTGTCCCAGCTGGAAGACGGTGTGTACGAGTGTGGGACAGGGTGTGGGCGGCTGACTAAATGAGGAGCTATGCTCACAATGTTACCGTGTGACACTGCAGTCTTTTACGACCTCTCCCAGGACTTGGGGGGCTGTGGAGGGTGGCTACAAATAAACCTGCTATTGCTGGTGCCCTTACTAAAGAACCGCCGGGGTGCTAAAAAAAGCTCCAGGGAGGGGGGCGTTCTGTGGTGAAGTAGGGGTGTGCTGAGGACTTCGGCGTTGGCTTTCTCATGTTTTTCCACGGGTGCTTCGTAAGGCCCTGGGGGGGGGTATCTGTTGCTGTGAACGGAGGTGGGGACATGCGAAAGACTACACTACAGGCCGGGCGGGTTCTCCCACAGTGAGAACCGTGCCGAGAAGTAGATGTTTACTGCGTGCGCTTGGTCACACATTATCCTTAATCCTGTGGGCGCTCATCGTCTGCTGCCTCTTCCAAGTGGGCGCTCATCTCCCTGTAAGGTCACCTACCTGGGAGCTTGAGCCCCCACAGAGTCGGCGCCGATGGATTCACGAAGGGAGGAGTATTTGCATGTATTGTTCCTGCTTGATTTGTTACTCTTCACATGCCTGCTGTCCTCCTCTTTCGGTTCGTGTAGAGCTGGGTTAGGGGGTGGGGAGCTGGGCTCTGTTTCTCTGGGTCACTGCTTTAGCCCATCCAGGTGGGAAACAGTGAAAACAGAGCACACCGGTCACGTAACAGCAGCAGGATGAGGGACAGAAACAGCCGTCCTGTTGAGGCATTCTGTTAGGGAGTGACTAACCTCCACATCCACCTGTGTGTCTGGAAAGATATCCGTCCATCCAACATGAATTTGGCAGTTTCTTTCAGCCTGTTTTTTTTGTGCCACATTTGCGCAAAAGTGAAGTTGTGCACAAGAAGGGTTTCACAGGAGAGTGTGGAAAGCTTCCTCTTTTCACAATATCAGAACGGCTTTGCTGAGTGGAAATCCAGGAGCTATTTAAAACAAAACTGCTGGGCACCGTGCGATGAACAGAAACGAAGACCAGCCGCTTTTCTTCGGGGTGACTGAGCACCCAGGGGCGACGCCGAACCGCACCCATTCGGTGGTCCGCCAGTGCGGCGCCTCGCGAAACGAGCCAGAACCTGAGCTGACACCCGCCGGCCCAGACAGCACTGACAGACATCGATACCACGTCAGAAACATGTGCTGCGGCCCGCTCAGCTGCACACCCTCCACAGCGCCCGGCCCTGCTGGGGAGGAATGCGCACTGCACCAGGGCAAGCCAGCGGAGGAATGTGGTAAACAGATACCAGTCATATTTTGGTATTAATCTCAGTAAATTGGATTGGGGTGGAGAGGTAGCGCTGTCCCCTTTGTCCTGGAATCAAAACCACTTTTGAGTCTCTTTCTAAGAGTGTTTTTTTGGTTGTGATTCTTCGGTGATGATAAACTCACTGCTTAAAAAAACGTTTGGTAAGAAAAATCATGATGGTTTTCACCTTACCCACCACTATGCAATCCTACAAGAACCCTCTTTTAACTATCAGAACCTTTTCGTACTAAACAGGATCCCAGTTTATAGTGTCACCCTCATCCCGTCTTCGGTCTTGAGTTTAATGTCGGTGTCAAACTGCGCTGAAGCATGGCTGACAGGGACGTGCTTGCCTTCGGGCATGGTGTAAACACTGCCGGATTGTGATAAAGGCACAAATGTGAAGGTGCAGGTGGCGAGTGAGACCGAGGCATTAGTAAACTCACTGAACTCGTGTCTTGCTGAAGGACCCTTGGCTCAGACAGGAGAAATGTGTCTGTGAGAGCATGATAATAAAAGACAGCTGGCACCATCCCTGGCAGAATACTGGCAGCATGAGTAACTGGGACTAAAGTCATCTCAGTGGCTCTTACTGAACACCAGCCTCTCATAAAATAAACACCTTGATGTTTTTAAGCTCTTCACAGGGAGTAGAATGTAAAAATTTTTTTTAAATAACTGTTACTTGACAAAATGCTGCTTCCTGCTAATATCCAGAACTTTGTTCACACTTCATTGTGCGCCAGCTATAACCTGCAGCCCGTTATGAGAGACTGAATACTGGTGGCTGTCCTAGTTATTGTCTAGGTGCTTCACTCACCTGCTAAGCGTCTGTCTATCTGTAGACGCACACAGGTGCATGTAATGGAGTTTCCAGCAAAGGTCTGGGAGGGATAACAGTAGCCAAGATAAACTGGCCTCAGTTGTCCGGAATCAGAATTATTCCCCCAGACTAAATTGTAAATGGAGCAGGTAACCTCCTTCTGTCCTTCACATTCGTCTCATGCATGTCTCCTCCTCCCCTCTCCTGGTGTGCAGCTTCACTCCCCCCCCTGCAGAGGGGTCCCAGCCTCCTCCCAGCCCCCCTATGGCCAGGAGGACAGCCTTCAGCCAAGCAGGTTATGTGAATTCCTTATACTTATGTAGTGCTTTTTTGGACATACCACTCAAAGCGCTTTACAGGTAATGGGGACTCCCCTCCACCACCCCCGGTGTGTAGCCCCCACCTGCATGATGCAACAGAAGTCAAAGTGCGCCAGTCTGTTCCCCACACAGCAGCTCTCAGTGGAAGGAGAACAGAGTGAGGAAGCCAGTTCACAGATGGGGATTATCAGGAGGCCATGATTGGTAAAGACCAATGGGAAATTTGGCCAGGACTCCGGGGTAACACCCCTAATCTTTTAGTGAAATGCCCTGGGATTTTTAATGATCACAGAGAGTTAGGACCTCGGTTTTACGTCTCACCTGAAGGACAGCGCCTTTTTTACAGTATCTTGTCCCCATATTGAAACACATTTCAATAGACTTTGCCCCTGTCCTAGTGAACCTCAGATTGGGGGCACTAGATCTGAGCTTGCAGTCCCTGCTCCTGTCCTGAAGCAGGTGAGACACACACACGGCAGCCTCCTCCCAGACAAGTCCTGTCAGCTGGGTAA